ATATTAACTGTCATTAAATTTCTTTTTGTTTTCAAAAAATTGTTAACATTGGAAGCAGGTCAAGAGCTCCTGGCCCACAGACCCGAGTAGTACCTCAAGGATCGGTCTTGTAAAGAACATTTTGAAGTAATGCTCATCAGTTAAACCATGAGGAAATGCTGCAGCTCTGAGAAAGTATGTTCACACTTGTTTTCCTGGCTTTGTTTAATTGCAAAAATGGTTTTTTTGCCAATCTTACAAATGTACTTGTACTCTTCTATGAGTGTACCTTAACAGTTGACTGCAAGATGCTACTAGGTGGTGAAAATGTGCCAAATAACAATATTAGACTTGGAACAAAAACTTGTCATGAAAGAATATTTTATCAGTGAAACGAAAAATATTTATCCCCTGCCCTGGAAGAATTTTGCCAGGACCATCATTAGAACTTAATGGTGCAGATGCTTATGGACAATACATGTACAGCTAAACAAAGGAATTGTTAATAGTGCTTAGTGTTTTAAAAACGCTATCTTAGATCCGGGACTGAGAGACAGTAGAATCTATAGAGTTGTAACAGCTAATGGATAATACTTCCTTGTTTTACTGTATAAGGTTCTGCAAAAGCAAAAGGACAAGAGTGACAAAATGGCCCGGAAGAGAAAAATAAGCAAAACTGGACAAGGACATCAGGGATAAAGCAATGGCAACACTGAAGCAACGTAAGTTTATGATTAAGGTGGCCATTTTTGCAAGGGGTCCCACTAACCTGAAGGGAATAAATATGTCAGTAAACAGCATAATTATAATTTTGTACCATCGATACTCGTTTTCCCTGGTCAGCGCTTATACGCACTCACCCACCCACTCACTCACAAAAGCACCCGCCCAAGAACCTGCTCTTTGTGCTTATATTTGGGGTTACGATTGAGGATTCATAAGAGGACTGTTATCCTTGATAGATTTACTGTAGTTACAGCCCCTTGCTTGTACCTTGATCGTAAGGCTGGAATGCCCCCGTTCACCAAACACCACACTATTAAAATTAAGCCTTATTTGGCCCAAATTAGACCTAATCAAAACTCCATATGGTTTTAGCTGTCATCTGTAATTTTGGTGCCTAGTAGTGTTTGAACATTTCGGAGTTCCGGTTTGTACTCTCTACACAAAGGTTTATATAATGATTATTAAATTAGACGGAAGGTGCCCGCAACTTTCTAGTAAATCATGCGGGGTTTTTCCCAGTTAAGCTTTCAATAAACCCTTGTCGAAGTCGAAGTCGAAGTCCTTTGTTAGGTATGGACATATACAAGTGACAAAATATCTAATTAGCGGTTTTTCCCAGTTTCGCTTTTGGTCGAAGTTGTTCTGGGGTCTTTTGTAAAGTATGCTTTACATATACATATGTATGACTGTATAGGGGCTATTCAATGTTAATCAGGGGTTTTTCCCAATTTCGCTTTCAATGTACAAATGTCTGACTATTTAGGGACTATCCAACGTTCATAGGGGTTTTTCCCAGTTTCACTTTCAGTGGTCGAAGTCGTTCTGGGGTCTTTTGCCCAGTATGCTTTACATATACATTTGTCTGGATTTATGAAAACACGGCTTCAGTGAGTGTCTAAAAGTCCTTGGTACCAAGACTTTGACCCTCCCCACCCAGGACAATGGGTGACTGTCTGCACCTCCCACTGAGCTCTGCAATTATCATGATAATCATTCTCAGCAGAGGCCTTATTCAGCCGGCTAGGGCAAATTAAGACCAAGGTAGCTGCCAGTCAAAGCCTATACTGAACACTACTGCTTACTGAAGGGGTTGTGTCAAAACAGCCCCCTCCCCACCCCACTAGTTTTGACCCCCAGGCCTGATCCACCCACCCAGTTGTAGGGTGTTCCCTGGGCTACTCAGCTCTACCGACCAAGCCGCCAAGCCCCCTACTTGTTTGGACGCCGGACTGGCCTGGAGCCGGGCGAAAACGTAGTGGCCACGTTTTAATGAAATCAGACAGATATTGAACACAAAATGACTGTCGCAAGACACTGGCTAGAGTGGTGCCACCAAGTACTTGCCCGGGCAGGTAACACCGTCCTCCTAGGACCAGGCTGCAGAAAGGACCTTAATTATCTGTCTGGATTTATGAAAACATGGCTTCAGTGAGTGTCTAAAGGTCGTATGCTAAGTGTGTCCTTGGTACCAAGACTTTGACCCTCCCTACCCAGGACAATGGGTGACTGTCTGCACCTCCCACTGAGCTCTGCGATTATCATGATAATCATTCTCAGCAGGGGCCTTATTCAGCTGGTTAGGGCAAATTAAGACCAAGGTAGCTGCCAGTCAAAGCCTGTACTGAAAACTGCTGCTTACTGAAGGGGTTGTATTGAACACAAAATGACTGTCGTAAGACACAGGCTAGAGTGGTGCCACCAAGTACTTGCCCGGGCAGGTAACACTGTCCTCCCTGGACCAGGCTGTAGAAAGGACCTTAATTATCTGTCTGGATTTATGAAAACATGGCTTCAGTGAGTGTCTAAAGGTCGTATGCTGAGTGTGTCCTTGGTACCAAGACTTTGACCCTCCCCACCTAGGACAATGGGTGACTGTCTTCACCTCCCACTGAGCTCTGCAATTATCATAATAATCATTCTCAGCAGAGGCCTGATTCAGCCGGCTAGGGCAAATTAAGACCAAGGTAGCTGCCAGTCAAAGCCCGCACTGAACACCGCTGCTTACTGAAGGGGTTGTGTCAAAACAGTCCTCCTCCCTATCCCACTAGGTTTTACCCCAGGCCTGATCCACCCACCCACTGTTAGGGCAGTCCCTGGGCTATCCAGCTGTACCGGATAAGACGCCAAGCCCCCTACTTGTTTGGACGCCGGACTGGCCTGGAGCCAGAATGCGCCCGGCGCCAGGCGAAAACCTATTGGCCACGTTTTAACGAAATCAGACAGACATATGTATGACTATTTAAGGGCTACTCAATGTTAATCAGGGGTTTTGCCCAATTTCCCTTTCAATGTTCGAGGCCGTTCCGTGGGTCGTTTGCGAGGCACGCTGATAAACACATTTCTGACTATTTAGGGACCATCCAGTATTGATAAGGGTTTTTTCCCAGTTTCGTTTTCGATGTTTAAACCTCAGGCAGGTCGTTTCCGGGGTCGTTTCCAAGTCTTGCTGATATGCATGTGTCTGACTAGTTAGGGGCCATGCAGTGTTAATAAGGGTTTTTTCCCAGTTTTGCTTTCAATGGTCGAAGTCAGTGGTCGAGTCTCAGGCCATTTGTAAGATACGCTTATATACAAATGTCCGACTATTTAGGGACTATCCAGTGTTTATACGGGTTTTTCCCAGTTTCACCTTCAGTCGTCGAAGTCGTTCTGGGGTCTTTTGCAAGGTATGCCTTACAAATACATATGTATGACTATTTAGGGGCTATTCAATGTTAATAAGAGGTTTTTCCCAATTTCGCTTTCAATAGTCGAGGCCATTCCTTCGGTCGTTTGCAAGGCACGTTGATAAACACATTTCTGACTATCTAGGGACCATCCAGTGTTGATAAGGGGTTTTTCCCAGTTTCGCTTTCAATGGTCGAGTCTCAGGCTTTTTGTAAGATACGCTTAATATACAAATGTCTGACTATTTATAGACTATCTATTGTTTATACGGGTTTTTCCTAGTTTCACTTTCAGTGGTCGAAGTCGTTCTGGGGTCTTTTTGCAAGGTATGCTTTACATATACATATGTATTACAGAACTTTAATAGGGACTATTCAATGTCAATCAGGGGTTTTTCCCAATTTCGCTTTCAATGGTCGAGGCCGTTCCTTGGGTCGTTTGCAAGGCACGTTGATAAAACACATTTCTGACTGTGTCGATCAGGGTTTTTTCCCACTTTCGTTTTCGATGTCCAACCCTCGGGCAGGTCAAAGTCGTTTCCGGGGTCGTTTCCAAGTCTTGCTGATATGCACGTGTCTGACTAGTTAGGGGCCATGCAGTGTTAATAAGGGTTTTTTCCCAGTTTCGCTTCGATTCAATCCACTGCACTTTTTGAATGAAAACACTGAGAACATTGCCACCGTTTTTGAGAAAAAAAAACAAAGGGAAACTTTGAAGAAAAAAGGAAGATAGCGAGACGGAACAACCTTCAATAGCTCCTTTCCAGCTCTCCCCGGTATTAAGGATGTTGGAGCCAAAATAGTGCGGCATACAACAGCAAGATTAACATCAGTTAGGGGGTTTTTCCCTAGCAGGTTTGGTATACTTTTCCCATTGTGGTAAACAAACCACTTCTCTGAACCAATCACTAATTAGGGGGTTTTTTCCCGGTTGTGCTTCGATTCATTCCACTGCGCCTTAGCTTGTGAGTGAAAACAAGCCGAATGTCTTTGAGAAAAACCAAGTGGAAATTTCGGAGCAAAAAGAAAGAAAGTGGGAAGAACAGTCGAAGACTTTACTTTACCCGACTTTACTCGAACTGTTGCAGCCAAAAAAGTGCGTGATACAAAAGCAAGGTTAATTTTAATTCATAAATTACCTTGTTAGGGGTTTTCCCTTCCAGATTTGGCATAGTTTTTCCATTTGCGTCATAACCTATTTCTCTCAACCAATCATTGCGCGACAATTATGCCATTAATTAAACAGCTGGTACAAAGCTCGCCGCACTTCGGACGTACCTCGAAGCTGTTCGCTGTTAGTTGAAGGTAGTTCACAATTAACTTAACGTTGGTGCTAGTTATTTAGATTTTAACATAGCCAAGCGTGAGAATGGTTATAGTGACAGACGATTAGTATATATAGTCCCCTTATAACTTGTTAGAGCTTTTATTAATAACGCATATTTTGAGCACTTTAATTGGTTCAGTTAATTAGATAGACAGTTTACAGTCCTCGTGGTCGTTGAAAAAGGTCGATCTCATTGTTTCGTTTATATGTTCTTTTTTAGACGATAGTGCTTTATCCAACAGACAACTAAGGCCCCGTTCCCGCGAGGGGAAGGGGCCTGATCAGACCCCTGTGTTAAAAGGATGGTCAGAGTTCGGAATCGAAATGACCAGTTGAACTTCCTCAAGTTCACCGCCATCGTCGCCGATGAATTTCCGAAAGCCTTGCGTCAGACCTTCAGACTCATGTGGGACAGGAAATTTGGACCAGTAGAACTCTGGGATGACTCTGAGGCCGTGAGGAAATCCTTCAGGGGTAAAGAGCATCGCAAAACCAAAGTTCCTACCGATCAGTCGTACGAGGAGTGGGATTGCACAGCATTGTTTCAGGCCACAATTTTTGCGCAGTCCTTTGCCTTACCTGACAGTACCGGCAAATACCAGACCCTCAGTGATCTGTACGTGAAACCCCTTGGGTTAGCGCGTGGAGATTTCCACGCATCTGTGGTGAGTTCGGGCGGAGACTATTATCAAACCGCCGCTTTAGCGATTGACCAGCTTCGCCTTTTAAGAAACTCGTTGTTTCATTCAGCCAAAGGTGAGATGAGCAAACGAACATTTAACCAAAACTTGAAGCGTGTCAAGGATACCTTCAAGGCTCTTGGTCTGAAGACAGACGAGATTGATGCCATTAGCAGCAAGGTCGGCTTTTCTACAAGCGAAGTCGCCAAATTGAAGCGCAAGATCCGGAACAGGAACATGGCCATAGTAGTAGGAGTAGGTATAGGAGTAGGTTTATTATAAAAGGCCGATTTATTTGGCACAGTTCCATGGAGAAAAACGAAAAGTTCAGCGAGTCGAGGTTTCGATGTTACTAGCGTTGTTTTGAAGTTTAAAGTTTAAAAGAATGCCAAGTGTCCACATACCAATCGCTGTGATTTAACGCAAAAGAACGTTTTGAAACGTAATGTCATATTGATCGCCATGCAATTACCTTTTAAGTTGTTCACTCCCTTCCTTCCCTCCTCCACACTAAATGGGGGAGCTTCGTCCAGTAAGGATGCGGAGTGATAGGGTATATTATATAACAGCTGGCGTTTAAGTAATTCGCTGATCTGATGCGATATTGAGTGGCCTGGCGATATCGCACAATATCACCGAATTGCATATGGAAAGTACGTTGTACATGAAATCACAGCGAAATCGCTTAATAAAGCAATTTGAACCGCTAAGAGTTCATGCAACAAGTCTTAAAAAATGCATAGTTTCGTGCAAACCTTAAAACGTGTCTGTTCAGCAAGGACTGAATCAGTTTGAAAGTCAAACACGAAAGCGCACTCCAAAAGGGTACTTCCGACGGAAGACCAGGGCTTATTTGCCAATCAACAGCAACCAAGAAAATTAGCTTGAAATTAACGATGGTTAAAATTTACATTTTTCACTCTGTCATAGTAGTTCAACCGTAAGAAAGTGAGGTTAAGGAAACTTTTTGCCACGGTTTTTCAGTTTTGTAAACTTTGATTGAAAGGCAGCAGGAATTTTAACATATTTTCACAAGATGCATTTTACATCAGAAGTTTTCGTCTACAACGGCGAACCTGCGAAATTCAAACTCATCCTTAAATACTTTTTTCTTTTAGCCAACATAATCCTAATCTCCTTCGCGGGTTCATTGCGAAGAAAATTCTTCAATTAGCCACGTAAACTTTACAGCTTTCATTTTTGTAATGTAAAAGTTTTGGTTTACAGAAGCTTTAGTTTATGAAAAAGTATAAAGTTCTGCGTGTTATATTTACCTTCACTTCCAGATTGGTTTTGGTCATCTACATTTTGTTTGCGAGACACTATCTTGACACTTTTGGACTTCTTGCTCTTCGGAGCACGTGGTGTGGCAACGCGTGTGTCGGAGGGCAAGAAAGTCCAGGGTAAATAAATAAATAATGACTTTACTGGACAACAATTACTGGTGAAACCAGTAATTCTCATTGTGGTCCTTAAAATCTACAAACGACTGAAACAAATAATTCAAATTGAACATTACATTTCTTAAGAATCCGAACTGGCTAGAGGCAAACCATTTGGCTACTTACAAGCGTGGCCGAGGTACGGAACTTGATACCGTGAATGTATCATTGTGCATTTTATTTGCACTCGCATTGAGGCTGCTGAAGCTGGCGTCATTTAAATTTGCTACTCCGTGCTGACGAGACTCAAAAAGGACGAAACAGCAGTCCACAGTTGCAACCCTACTTTATCGAGTTTCGGTCATGTTGGTGTCTCGCAAAGTCAATTTTTTTCACGTAGTATCAGCCTAGCTTCTGTAAAATTCTGGTTTATTTTTAGGCTGATTCATGATCTCAGTATAGATCCTACGTATCCTTTTCTTATAACTTTTACTTTCTTTAGCCATTTTATAGTGCGCCTTCGTGTTTCACCAAATCGGTATAAAATGCATTGTTACTGAACTCTTTTTTCCATCATCGACATTCTGTGGCACTTTTAACACTTTTGTCTTGAAAATGACGCTAGCAACATCGAAATGTTGCTTCGCTGAAATTCCTTATTTTCTCGTTAAGTGTTGTTCTTTTGGTGGCAGGGAAAGCACATACACTGTACATGCAGCCGTGTTATCTGGGTCGGCCATAATTGGCCATTAACTGTTAATGGATAGTAGTAATAGTACACCATAGAATAGTACATGTAAATTGTGTTTTTGCTTTTTTGTACTATTTCTTGACTATTTCAAATAAAGTTTCTTTTTCCGTGTAAGGAAAAACAAACAGAGAAAACAAAATAAAAAATAATAAAATTTTTCTTGATTTCAGTCATGCTTGTCTTCACTTAAAGGGTGGCCTCTCTTCAGTTGCAGATTGCAAAAACGATTTTGGATTCTCCTCCGATACAACGTAATGCACAAAAACCAACCAAACTAAAAACTTTAGATGGTACGAGACGAGACGAGATGAGATACCGCGATCAGTTTTAAAACGGGATTTTTTTGTCGTTCGTAGTGAGGGGTGCGCGTGAGCTTTTCTTTCGCGAGTTCTGCTTGGAACTTGCAAGTCTGATACTTGCTGCTCAGCGACTTCACTGGTTCAAAGTTTACATGACTTTGAAGCCCTTTCGTTTATAACGATACACATTTCTGATTATTTAAGGACCATCCTGGGTTTTTTTTTCCCAGTTAAGTTTTCGATGTTCAACCATCAGGCAGGTCAAAGGGTGTAGACAGAACGTGGACCCTCCCTTCTGGACCCCCCTTTTGGACCCCTTTTTGGACCCCCTTCTGGACCCCTTTCTGGACCCCTCTTTTTTTTTACATAAAAAAAATAAAAAATAATAGTTATAAATAAATATATTTAAAAAACGCAAGCAAACAAATAATAAAGTCCCTTACCATCACTCCGTCTTGCACATTTTACCATGAAGCTCGAAAGGTGACCGGATGAAATGCTTCCAAGATACAAACAAAATTTCTATGTTTGTACTATAAAGGCTGACAAACAAATATACATTGCCGGTATCCGCAAAACTTTGCGTGCTGCTAAACAAGACGACTGCTCAAAAAAGGAGGGGTCCAGAAAGGGGTCCAGAAGGGGGTCCAAAAAGGGGTCCAGAAGGGATCGGAGGGTCTACGTTTTGTCTATACCCCAGGTCAAACTCGTTTCCGGGGTCGTTTCCAAGTCTTGCTGATATGCACGTGTCTGAGTATAGTTAGGGGCCATGCAGTGTTAATGAGTGGTTTTTCCCAGTGTTCCTATACGATTAAATCCACTGCACGTTTTAAATGGAGATACTCAGAACATTGCTAACTTCTTTTGAGAAAAAACTCATGGACAACGTCAAGGAGAAAAGGAAGATGGTAAGAGCAACAGTCAACAGCCCCTTCGCAGGTCTCTTACCGATTTTGTGAACGTTGTACAGCCAAAATAATACGTCGTTCGGGTACAGAAAGATTAATATCACATCCGTCTTGTCCGTGCAAAAATAATCTCCTGTAATTAGACAACATTGTCACTGTTTTGTATCCGGTGGATAACGCTATCCACCGGATAAATTGCTTTCCAGTGGATAGCGCGGTTTGTTTTGTTAACACTTATCCACTGGATGGCGATTTATCCGGTGGATAGTGATATCCTGCCTTTGAACAACTGGTGGCAGATGGATAATCACAAAACTCTTAAAGACCTAGTAAGTGACCTCTTTGAGCCTTTAGCCTGCGAGAGTGTTTTCACATGACGTCACGGCGGCCATATTGGTGTCCCAAAACAATGAAACGGCGGCCATGTTGGTGTCCCAAACCAATCCTCTGGGAGTTAATTGAACTCTTTTCTTGTGCAAACGCTTTCTTTTGTTCCAATATATTTGCATAGATGCTGGCCACGTGAGTAAAAACACTCTATTTGGACGCGCGAGCGAGGGGCCTCGTTGGCTATCCCCCATCTCATATCCGACTGGCACTCATGGAATAACTGTTAAATAGATGGATCTTCTACAATATCTATCAAGACTCTCTCATGCTGAGTTTTCGATTAAAATAATATATTGTTGACATCATCTTCAAATCGGTTTTCTCAGAAGTGTTTTGGTTGAGTAATCTAAGTGCCCCACCCTTTATAAATTCTTTCTTTACCCCTAGGCGGCGACATGAAAGGAAATATCTTGTATATTGGAAAATCTCCTTTGGTTTAGTATTTTTTAGATCGGTGTATGTAAATCTAGGATCTAGTGCTTGTCGCCATGAATTTATTTAACGGTGACGTCCTTGCTTGCTTGGATAAACGCCGGGGTAAGTTTATGCTGCCATCCACTTGCTTTGCCTGCGCGCCAAGAAAATCAAAGAAGTTTATTTGAAATATGCAATTTCAGGCGTAAATTTTTTTTTTTTTAACTTTTTATTCTTTACTAGGTCAAGTTCCATTGATAAACGCTGAGTTAATGTTGTGAACTAGTTTAATATGAGGCCTACTTTGGGACCTTAAGTCGCCTTAAATCGCCTTAAGTCGCTTTAAACCATTATGAAGAGATTGAAATTGTCTAACAGTTATTACTTTTCTAGTTTTATATGAATTTCCAGAATGTATGATTCCTTTTAAAGTGTGTAACAACCTATGTTCAATAATATTAGCCACAATTTCACCCCACCCCTATAGGAAAAGTGTTTATCCCCTGCCCTGGAAGAATTATGCAATATCAGCCAGGACCATCGTTTAAGAACTCACTGGTGCAGATGCTTATATTGTGGACAATACATGTACAGCTGAACAAACGAATTGTAGTGCTTAGTCACGTTTTAAAAATCGCTATCTTAGATCTTGGACTGAAAGACAGTCTATAGAGTTATAACAGCTAATGGATGTATAAGGTTCTGAAAAAGCAGAAGGAAAAGAGTAAGAAATGGAAGAGAAAAATAAGCAAAACTGGACAAGGACAAATGTTTATGATTAGGGTGCTTAAAGATTTCAAGATTTCGCCAAGAAAAAGTGCTGAAAAAGCTTATTCAGAATAATCTCTGTCAAAAGGAGGGTCTGTTTTTCCAGTCGTTGTTCAAGGGCCTTGGAGAAGAGGGCCCTTTGGAGAGGAGTGCAAATTAGATTGACTGTTCATGATCAAAAGAAGAAAGGGGTGGTTCTTAGAGAGGGATTATCGCAATATTCATGCAGCAATGTGCCTGCATCATTTCCTTTAAATCATTTGCTTCGCTAGGTAAGACAAAGGCGAAAGATTATACCGTTACACCGCAAGTTAAAAGGGTTGTTCCAGCCCAAAGTGCCAAGTCAGCCCTACAGGCTAAAGCCTTATTC